GGCACCAGCTGTAACCGTCTGTCGTGAAGTCTAGAAAATTGACCAGAATTACAACATGATGAAAAAATCCTAGGCGCCCCCGCCGTCGCCGACGTCGCCGCCGCCCCTCTACCTTCAGATATGCCACCCGACAGTGTTGCTGCTACTTCTGCTCCTGCTGCGTGGGGGACTCCAGTTCCAGCGGATGCTGCTGCTGCTGCTGCTGCTGCGGCTGCTACTTGTGAGCTCATGTACGGATTCTGGGAGCTGCCACGGCTTGAACTCGGCCCTTTCCCACCCACGCCTCTGTTGTCCACTGTGCCGTGGCTATCGTAACTTTCTCGCCGCTCGAGCCTCTCCTCCGATTGATCGCAATGAGCGCAGAAGTGATCAAATTCATAAGGATTCAGGTCGAGACTAACTGCGATGAGATCCTCATGTGTCCCGCGTTCTGATGCCTTCCACACATAGGACCCGGAACGGCTGCTGTGTGGGCGCTTCGTATCTATCCGACCTGCCTCTGTCGGCCCTTCCGTAGTTTCCGCGACCTCGTGATCCAGTTCCTGCTGAAGACATGATGATCGAGCCTGGGCTGACGATTGGCCGCCCCACTGCCGCCGCCGTTTGGCGCTTTGCCTCTCGCTTCTATGAGATGCGGTGTGGTGTTGTGAAAAGTGCGATGTAATCGCGCCGCTCTTGTTCTTGGGGCAAAAAAATCTCACATTCCAGACAGTGTGCCCCCTCTGAAAGAACGAAAGGTGGACATTTGCCCCAATGTACACTAAATCCATATGATCGATGCACAGTCGGCTTCCTGGTACGTACGTAGGATGCACAGTAGGGGGGCCCGGCCGGGGATAGCATGCAGTCAACACAGAAGGGGGTCGAAGCAAGTAACCCCCCCCCCCCCTCCCCAGGAGAATGCGGCTTTGAGCCCCCCTCATCCGAGGGGGGGTCCGCGTGTGTACACCACACCCTGGACAATACGATATGTAATACGTATTAATCCACACCAATACTCTTCAAGTTCGTTATCAGTATGTATCGTTTGTTCAATATAATAGGTACAGGTCGATCGGCGTGTACTACGCTAATCAATGTATTGCGACGATTGCGATCAATATTAACAACATATTCGCCTGATTGAGAGCGTAGCATCTGATTGAGAGCGAGATTGCGCGATACGCTGTAGCCGGACTACCACTGAGAGGTGGAGCTTGCTGTGTAGCTTGAATTGAAGGGCTAGCCCGTAGCTTCAAGCCGCTACCCTGGTCATCCTGTGGGAGTCTCTCGTTGTGGAGCTACAGCGGGGAGCAGAAGCTACAGCAGAGCCCACCGCCCGACGCGATACCGCCCTGAAACAGTTTGAGCAGAAATAGCCAATCTGGGCAAATCTAGCAACTTGTCTAGCTCCTCGCTGCAGCATCCGATGACGATGACACGCATATGCTCGCGAAGCTGCTGATGAGACCTTCAATTTGCACCGCTTCTTGGAATAGCCCGTCCCCTACTTGCCAAGAAATGGCAAGAGGCGTCTGGACCCGAAATTTCAATTTTTTTGGCTCTCGCTCTCAATCAGATACTTCGCTCTTAATCAGGCGAATATGTTGTTTATTGTTGGTTGAGCAATATAGATGGAAAATCGTCGTTCAATATGTGTTGGTCTTTCCGATGGCTTCGAACGTATTGCATCAATATGAATTTTCTCTTCGATATCGTTTGGCAAACATAGTTCCGATATACATTGCTGATACCGATAAGTTGTCCGAGAAACCGATCGATACAAATTGTTCGCGGATATATCGCCCAGGAAACCGATCGATACAAATTGTTCGCCGATATTTCGCCCAGGAAACCGATCGATACAAATTGTTCGCCGATATGTCGCCCAGGAAACCGATCGATACAAATTGTTCGTTGATATGGCGCCCAGGAAACAGATTGATACGTATTGGAATGAACAAGACGCACGGGTTTTTCTACACCGAGTGATACCCAATAGTCTCTCGGCGACCAAACCCTCCTTACCTGTTGAAAGACGTGCATGTGTGAGCATTTCGCCCGATGCGTAGTTGATATCCAATCGATACAACAAATACAAGGGCGAAACGCCGGATTGCTGTTGTTCTTCCACGTGTTGTCTTCACCCTTCAAAGAACGAAAACAGTTTCGATCTTTGTTCCATACCGTCTGTTGCCTTTACTGGTCCCTGTGATGCGGGCGCCCTCTTGAGTTAGCTACCCAAACTATAATCGCGCAGCTCCAGGCGCGAGTGCTGTTACGATCACCAGTCTCCAGCAACGATCTAACAATTGGTCAACAAGTAGGACAATAGTAAAAATTGATCCTTGCGAACTCTCCAACTCAACGGCATGGAATTGCAGTCTCAACACCACTCTTCTGTAAAACACCACACCGTCTTGCTGTGGTTTGTTCTCTCCCATGATAAAAGCCTTCGAATTACTAAAGAACAAATACGAGAAAAAACATTAGTGGCGAGTCTTGGACGTTGCCAACAAACGTCGTGCCCGCCTTGAAAGCGGCAGCTCCGCCACTAGCTGCTGGTACTGGCTCGGCGGCCGGACCTCCACCCGTAACGGGGTGCAATCTCAGGACAACCCAGGACCTGCCCCTACGCGGTGTCGCTGTCCGACGGATACTCCTGAGCATCGTCGTTTTGTCCGTCGCTACGCTCATCAAGCTCCACGTCCAACACCTTAACTTCGTCCAGCAGATCCTGCTTCCGAAAACGATTCGGGATGGCTGCCTGTTGCTGGGCGTCGGTCAGCGTCAGGATGTCGTTGGGAATGATCCTCTTGTGCACTCGAAGAAAGAGCCCCACGTCCAAGTACGCTGGGTCTAGCGAGGATCGCCTACCGGGCATGAAGAAGTCGGCGACGCAGAAGTCTCGCTCCACACCACCTGCTGAGGCCGGACAACCGAAGACAGACTGCGCAACTGCTCGGAGTGCTAACGGCAGCGATTTACCATCGAGGTCCAGTAGTCTGCGCCGTTCTCCAGCGTCCGTAGCTTTTGAGAGATCTGCACGGCGAAGTGAAGAACGGAGAAGAAGGGTTGAGGAAGGATTTCGCCGTGGAGAATGAGAAAATAGCAACTCGTTTTGCGTGGAGTACTGCCGAGCACAACAACAGGCAACAGTGGACAACCGACGGACGCAACATTTCGAGCATTGAGCATTATGGTGAAATTAAACAAGGTTAACAGGGAGTCCTTTGTACATACCGAAACTATTATATTCTACGACACTGTACTTCTGCCACGCCCACAACGAAGTATGCCAATGGATGTGTCTGATGGTAACAGGTAGCTCAACGACAGCCAACAACCTAAACCCACCCTCAGATTCATCCAGTCGTCCACGATGGTCTTGGCCTCTTCTTCGGGAGAACGCTCGCGCACGGTAGAGCCCTGTTGCTCGTCGTTGCTGCTGTCGTCATCGCTGCCGCTGTCCACAAGGTTGGCCCTTTGTAGTTTTTTGACGCGTTCGCTTCCTTCGGCGACGGTCCGTGGAGTTCTAGTCCGCGGCGCTGTCGAAACATCCACCTCCACCCGCTCGGCCGCCAACTTCCTCCTAATCTGGGCAACGGCGTTGGTGACGAGGCCAATGACTTCATCCTTGACACGGGCCTTGATGGCGTTAGCGTTGGCGAGGCCAAGGCCCACGGCGGTGCTCGATGTCACGAGCCTACCGATGTACTTCATTTTGCGCGACCCAGGGCTCAGAAACATGGCGTGGTCGAAGAGTTGAGGATGGGTCTCTAGCTTCGCCCGTTGATAGCGCGGCAAAAACCGTTTGCCGATGGCGGTGGCGAAGGCCTCACGAGTCGCACGGCCGGTTTCCGTCAGGTCGGTGTGGGATCGCATGGTTTGGGACGAAGCCCTGCGCTATCCGAGGCGTCCGCCCCGCCGGCGTCCGCCCCGCCGGCCGCGCCCTCCGCGCCTTTTACGCCTGCCCCGCCGTTCGCACCCTCCGCGTCCGCCCCGCCGGCCGCGCCCTCCGCGCCAATCACCGGGACATGCACAATCTCCAGGTCTTCCATCGGCTCGAGGGTTGTTGTCAGGAGAAGAACGATCCTGTTCATTGCCCCTCCCGCGGTAACCTCTGACGCACTTTGGCAGTATAGGGTGACGTCCTTCACAACCCGGAGAATGCTGTACACCTCCTCGAACTGGAACCAGCAAAACAGCGGAGGAGAGAGGAGGTGGTTAAATCGAGGACATCCCGATTGTTATCACATGATATCAACGTCATTTTCCCAATAACAGACGCTGTTAAAATGGAGGCGCTTGCTCAACTTTGTGCTGACGATGGATAGAGAGTTGCCAGACTTTGAATGATGGAACAACAGAGTGAAGCATGCGTCGACCGGATAAGGGGGGAGGAGAGTTCTCATATGTTTTCCATGTCTTCGCCGTCAGAGCATTGATACCGCCTTGTCAAGAAGACGGGCGATTGTTCCCGCAGGACCGATCACCGATGGCCAATCGTTCCTTCCTACTCTGCCAAAGGTGGCTAAAAAAAGTATGCCATAGTCTAGCTGTTCTTTCGATTTCCCTTCCCGCCGTTTCTACCCGCTTACAATGCCCCGGTACAGCTACCGTCTTGTCCTCGCTATGCCATGCCCCAAAAATCTTCCTGTACCTTCGTTCTACTTTTCCCAGCCCAGCCATGTACACGTCCCTCTCCTTATTAGACAACGCACATTCCGCAACTAAAACACGGTCTTTGCACTCAGGGCCGGATAAGGGGGGCCGTCACAAACCTGAGAAAATATTTTTGGGCACCGAGGGATTTTACGGCTAGGCCGCCGAATCTGCAGCAGTTTAATGCCATGTCGTATCATGGGGTAGAACAACCGACCTAACACTGCGCAATTCACACCTGCAAAGGCAGGCGAGGAAACCATATCACGAGGCATAACGCTTACCCCGTCCCTGCGCTTGCCCAAGGGGAACACGTCGCCTTTATTCAGGTACACGTGGCTGATCGCATCCCATCGCTCAAGAAGTCGCAACAGCATCTTGCAGAGGCTGACCTAGCGCTGGACAACAGCTTGCGACAGCTTGCCACGAGGCACGTCGCCGTTGCCCAGGTCCTCCAGAACGGCCTCCAGATACTCGTCCATCGCGATCTGCGCAAAACCACAACGGGCATGGGAATGATGTAATACTCGCAGACAAGTGCTTCTGGGTAGGGTTAACCCTAGCAACCCTAGCGTAAACATCAAGTGAGGCACAGACTGCATGCCAGAGAGGAAGAATAGAAATCGGTTGACGTAGATGACAACTGGTGTGGGGTGAGAGTGACTCGATGCGGTGTCTTCGTGGATCCACCTCCCTGGCTGAGGACCCTCCGTCCTTCGCAGGGACGGTTATTCTACCTCGAAAAGGCTGATAAGGTCTCGGCGTTTCGCCGGGGGACCCCGATGGGCTTTACCCGTTTGCATGGGTGATTCATCTGTCATCCACGTTGATACATACAATTTGCACAAGGCAGCGCGCACAGTAAGGTGTCTACTTCCCGTGACTGCAAATCTTACTTCCAAATTTGTTGCATTCGAAAGCCAAAACAGACCACCATAAAGGTTAACAAAGCGCGTCGGGTTATCATACCTTGTCGCGGGAAGATCTGTTGAAATGCTGAATGACCTTCATAGCGTCTTCCAGGAGGGCGCGGCAGTCGAGGTTCTTCGACAAGCGAGTGGTGTTCGCCAAGCCGGTGCCATCGATGGTGGCACGGTTGAGCATGTGGGGTAGGCACCACTCGCGACTAAAGCTTTTAACCACGCCTGACGAGACGTCAGATCCAGCGTCTGACACGGCGCCGGCGAAGTCGCTGGGTCGGAGACCGTGTTGAGCTAGCACTTGAACCACCCACTCCATCACCACCGTGCCGGTAGTCGGGCCGAGGGCCGAACATGGTTGGAACAGCTTCACCGCCAGCAGGTACGACCTCAGGATCATGATCTCGGTCATGTAGAAGATGCGTACACCTGCGCACATTCGAAATAAAGATGAACAAGGAAGGTTGGTTGTTGCACGTGATGTCATGCGATGCGCCATATCTTCCGATTGATATCATACAAAATAAGAGGCTAGACATGTTCCCATTCACCTTCAGCAATGTGGGGGAATTTTGGGGGAACGCTGTTGCAATGCGAACACTGTGACGTCAACACGGACCGTACAAGACTGGTTTAATATAAGATCGCCCTTCCTTTCCCTCGTTGCCTGCTCTCACATGCTAGGCTTTCCTTGGACCATCAAATGGGTGTGTAATGACAACATTGTTTACCCATCATTTTTGATTTCAGGCCCGCCGACCGGGATGGCCCTTTTGTTTGCTAACCCTAGCTGTTTCGAGACAAGGCTCAAATATTGTCTTCGGCTCCAGCTGTCAGTGATGGGGTTGATGAAAAAACGGGAAAATGGAGCCCATTTCACCAAGTACGCACCACAAGTGGCATTGTGCCCTCCTTGTCACAAG